TATATTTTTTTATATATAATATATATATATATATATATATATATATATATATATATATATATATATATATATATATATATATATATATATATATATTACAGGACCTCCCTGAGTGCAGCTTCCTGAATAAATATTATTATTATTATTAATACTCACTTTGCCTTTGGGACCTGTCCCAATGCCAATCATTGCGTAGTTTTTCAACATTTCACAACCAATAGCACCACATCCAACCTTTAAAAACAATACGACAACAGGGAGGATTTAATGTGTCTGGACATGTCAATGAATAGTAGTATATTCGTTCATTATTAAAGATAATTTTATTGTTAAAACGTTGATTTCGTTGTAGCGTTTTTGTTGGGCTTGTGATAATGCGCAACAGAACAAGCCTTGATAAATTCTTGGTGAAAAAATGAGACTTCAGTCCAGAAGTCTTGAAACGTATGTCTGAAGATCCAATATTCCTTTATGTCACAAATTTCAAAGATATTAGCCTGTGAACATATGCTCTCAGAGACATAAAGAAATATTGGATTTTCAGACGGAATAGTCAATTTCAAAATCTACTATTCCGGTTTTATTTTAGAAACAAATGCAAATACAAATGAAAATTCGATTACGTCGATATTGTCTCACAAATCACAACAAGACTGGCAAGTACTAATACATCATAGACACAAAACCTACCATAAATAATTGTACATCCTTCAGTTTTTGAAATAACGTTTCCCCAATACATATTCGTAAGGAATCGTATCTATCGTTCCTGTAAAAATTTCACACAATAAAAATTGAGCAGTTGGCAATCGAGTTAATCATGGACATATTTTTAAATATGTTAAACATTTTAATGATTAAAATCATTAATTCAGCAAATATTCACTTACTTAGGAAGAAACATCTCAGTGTTGTCGGACGTTTCTTTAGCTAGTTCAGTAGCATCCAAATACAACTGTAAGAAAAAAATATTATACACATTATCAATCAAAAGAAAATATATATTAATGCAACCGAGTTCCTAGCTTCGACAAGCCTTATGGTTTTTTGAGGTGACCAAATTGTATTGTGCCAAATTATCAGATTCAAAATCTAATGAAATTTATCTGTAATTCTTTTTTTAGTCAATAAAAGTGCATTGTATTGTACTGTGTTGCTGGTAATGGCAAAAAAAAGACAATTAGCGGTGAAGACGAACTTTCTGATACTCAGGTCAGAGTTGTGAAGAGTTTTCGACCTTCCTCTAGGGGAAATTTCGGTTCTGAAACCTCCCTCAAAATATTGTGAATTTATATGGCTTTCTCGAATTGCAAAATACATAAATTATTTCATTCATAATATTACACATAAACGTATTACTCGTCTGTGATTGGTTGATTTCAGTGCAGTTAATCCAAAACAGCAGTGCAAAAATCTGTAATCACTATGAACCAATCAAAATTGAGCTAAGTTTTGGCGGGAAAAATTTAAAAATATTCTTTTTTCAAAACAATCAAACATGGTCGCATTTAGTGCGGTGCGAAAAGATTCCCACAATTGGTCAAGTTCAAATTTGATTCTTTGGAATACTTTTATGTAAATTATTAATGTAAGTAATAGCATGGTTTCTCGTGAAATTTGGATAAACATGCACTAGTTAATTTTTGAAAGACCTCAAATAGCATTCGTCCTTCGAACTCGTGCTATTTTGGGAGTCTTTGAAAAACTCACTCGTGCATGTTATATCCAAATTGCACTCGAAACCATGCTATTACCTATACAAAACAGCTTCGTATTCCTATTTCCCACTGATCAGTATCATTAGCATTGCTCAGCTGGTTGATTGCATCATTGTACTCACATACAGATACACAGTAGACTGGCGACTGCTAGCAGATGTATATGCATGTTACGATTGCTACAGAAACACCGGTGCTCAAAAAGCTGCTATTGCCATCGTTAAGAAATGTTGTACTATATATTATTGTTTTCCCCTCAGTATTCTCGAATGTGATAGTCATCTGGTGTCGGTACTATCACAATAGTCACCAGAACATCAGCATGCTGCCAACTTCAACCTGTCTGGTCAAGTACCATTTATTTTTTTCCGTGTTTGGTGTAATGTACTCAGGTGAATATGATGTTTGTGATGTTACTCTGAGCGTATATCCACACCGGGCAAGCTTGAAAAATATGCCTGTCCACGGTGGGAATCGAATCCACGACCTTTGGAATACTAGTCCAATGCTCTGCCAACTGAGCTACGCAGTCAGGTCGGTTCCAGTATGTGATATTTCGGAACTGAGTCTAGTTCCTTCGATATCAATGTAATCATGATTTTTTTTTTTGTTTTCTGTGTTGGTGTTATGTACTCATTTGAAGTACATAACACCAAAAACAGAAAAAATCATGATTACTAGATTACATTGATATCGAAGGAACTAGACTCAGTTCCGAAATATCACATACTCGAACCGACCTGATCACGTAGCTCAGTTGGCAGAGCATTGGGCTGGTGTTCCGGGGGTCGTAGGTTCGATTCCCACCGGGGCCGGGCATGTTTTTCAAGCTTGCCCGATGTGGATACACACTCAGAGTAACATCACAAACATCATTTATTTGTTTCATGGTGTTAGTCTTGAGTGTCCTCACTGACCTCACATATGGTAAACCTTCCTCGCGGGTGGTATACCCGCATACCTGCAGCTTGTTTGCAACTCTAGATATGTTCCTAGGTTGGCTTACCCATTGTTTCAGTGGAGTAAATTTTCCAGTCAAAGCTTTCAAAACTTCCTGGGCAACAAAACCGCCAACAGCAGCGGCCAGTGGAGGCAATAAACCACGACTGGAATATGACAACGTAGTAAAGAGCTCCTTGTCAACTTTATCCACCTGGGTAGATGATAAGAACATGCAATTAAAGTGAACTAAACTAGCTTTATTTATTGGATGCGAGTTCGAATGTCGCTCAGGACAACGAATTTTCCATTGTACTTTGCAGTGTCAGAATAAATATGAAAGTAACCACTATGCCAGAGACAATAGATGATTCCACTAAATTTCGATCTAGGCAAGAAGAACAAAATCCATCACCATAGCTAGAAAGAGCATGTTAAAATTATGATTTTTTTGTGTTGGTGTTATTGTACTCAGGTGAATATGACGGGCAAGCTTGCCCGGTGTGGATACACACTCAGAGTAACATCACAAACATCATGTTAAAATTAGTAAAATCATACTAATTGTGAAATGTTGTAAAATGCGGAAAATATAGCCATGCGAAATTTTGTATTTATTTGAATTAAGCACGGGAAAATGCACCACATTTGAGCCGAAAATGGTGCATTTTCCCGCGCGTAATACAAATTAATACAAAATTTGCAAATTTCGCAGGGCTATATTTTCCGCATTTTACAACATTTCGCAACCAATCTTTGCAGTTTTACTCATTTTAACATGCGCTTTCTAGCTGTGGTGATGGATTTTGTTCTTCTTGCCTAGATCGAAATTTAGACTATAGCTGAAATGATGTATTCACGATGCAATGTATATTATGTATTTTCAACTACAGAAATCTAAGAAATTCATATACCTTCGATTTCATTCGTTGTTCGTTAATGGCTGCAGCAATCTTAACCAGTTCTTCAGCATCTTGTGAATTCCTGTCATGTACACACGAGTAAATATAAACCAAAATGGTCATCACTCAAACTATACGAAACTATAAGAGTGCCTTTCTGCATGAATACCGTTTTGTTTATCTCAACTTGCCAAATGAGTTATTTTTAATGATTTATGCATGCACAATGCTGTTCAACGCGAGACCTTGACACACCAGATTTAAGGCTAGTTTCCACTCAGGAAAATTATCCGTGGATTGGAACGGACAAGAAAATTTTTCTTCGTGTTAAAATCATTAGTTCCAACCCAGAGTTCACAAGACAAAGAACAATTTTCTTGTCCGTTCTAATCCGCGGATAATTTTCCTGAGTGGAAACTAGCCTTTAAGGCGTCTATATTTATATAAGGCAAGACCTGACTTGCACCTTACAGAAAAGCAAGATTTTGATCAAGTGTGAATGGGTGATTCCAGCTTTAGACTAAATTTTGATCTACACAAGAAGAACGAAATCCATTACCATAGGTGGAAAGAGCATCTTAAAATGAGTAAAATTGCAAAGTTTGGTTGCGAATTGTTGTAAAATGAGGGAAATATAGCCCTGTGAAGTTCGCAAATTTTGTATATATTTGCATTACGCGCGGGAAAAATAACCATTTTCAGAGCCAAAAGTGATCATTTTTACCGCGCGTAATACAAATATATACAAAATTTGCGAATTTCACAGGGCTATATTTTCTTCATTTTACAACTAAACATTTAGCAACCAATCGTTGCAGTTTTACTCATTCTAAGACGATCTTTCTAGCTGTGGTGTTGGATTTCGTTCTTCTTGCCTTGATCAAAATTTAGTCTATACCTGGAACCACCCATTGTTTATATACATTTATTAGACTTAACCAGGGACAGTTGCGAACAATGCAACCATATAGGTCCTGCGATTCTGGTGCGGCGCTCTAACCAACTGAGCTACAGAGTTCAGTTATAAAAAGCAGTATATAATCCCTATACACACCTAACATGCGGTAGACGACCATGCTGTTCTTGAAATGAATGTAGAGACCACATAGCTAAGTGAAGTTGAGATGCAGCCTAGGAAATAATCAGACAAAATGGGTGAAATGTACATTCAATATCATTTGATTTGCGGTAAGAGGTCTTACGTACCTCAATTTTACAAAGATCTACAAGCAAAACATTTGGTTCAATCAGCTGGTTCTCTAAAGAATCCTGAAAAAGACAACATAGTTTATTTATTTTTTCTGTGTTGGTGTTGTGTACTCAGGTGAATATGATGTTTGTGATGTTACTCTGAGTGTATATCCACACCGCGGGAGAGCTTGAAAAATATGCCCGGTCACGGTGGGAAAATATGCCCGGCCACCGTGGCCAGGCATATTTTTCAAGCTCCCCCCGTGTGGATATACACTCAGAGTAACATCACAAACATCATAGTTTATTTATAATGGATAGTTCTCTGTCAGTTCTATACTGTTCTCTTAGGAAACATAAAGTAAACTAACGTTATTTATATTGGATGGCTGTATTAGTTCTACAGTAAATTGTTCTTCCTAGAGGTGAAATAACAGTCGTTTCTTATTGGTCCAGTGTTATTTCAGGAGAAAAGTGGAATACCAGGAGAAAATGTGGTCGACTAGGAAGAAATTCTAGTGAGACAATTCCATCTACCGCAGGAGTATACCTTACTAGTAAATGCTAAAATTCTTGGGGGAAAACTTACAAAATGATTTAGTCTCGACGTTTTCACTTGACGTGCAATGCCACCATATTGATAAAGTTCAAAATCGTGAGAAGATGTGTCACAAATACTAACAGCATACGGAGATATAACTGAAAAAAACCCCCAAAATAATCCAGTATTAACTTTTTCTCAAATCAGTTTCTAACACATCAGAGAACAATAAAAATATTCATTATATCAGATATTCATTACATTAGCACGCATTTCTAGAGGTGTCTGTCGACACACGCAAAAGTCTCACATCTTGTCATCATCATCTCACATCATCAAGTCCGCATGCCAACAAGCCATCAAAAATTTGTGTTCGGTTTGTCCCAAGTTGTCAACAAGTATGGAACAAGCTGTTAACAACTTGTCACAACCTTGTTGATATTATCAGACTTGTTGCAAGGTTGTTCCAACGGGTCCGATACAGTCATGATATAACAATAATGTTACAATATTGTGTCATCAACTTTATAACATTCTTGTTATATCATGACTGTATCAGACTTGTTAGAACACCCACCTTGTAACAAGTCTGATAATGACATCAAGCTTGTTACAAGTTGTTAACAGCTTGTTCCAAACTTGTTACAACAACTGGGAACAAGCAGTGCGAACACAACTTGTCAACAGCTTGTCAACAGATTTGTAACAACTTGTTAGCAGACCTGGAACAACTTGTGCGCTTTAATGTGTGTAGTTATACGATGGTCATCCTAAGGCTTCCTTCGTTTGGCCGGGGATTTATTTCACCATGTAAACACGCGAGTACACACGTAAAAACGCACAGGTTGTAAGCAGACTTGTAGCAATGCTGTTCCAACAACTTGTCAACACGATATGTTCGCATTGCAAGTTCCCAGCTTGTTGACAAGTTGTCAACGGCTTGTTGACAACTTGCTACAAGATTGTTGAGCTCAACAGACTTGTTACAAGTTGTTCCAAGAACTTGTTATCGTCCTGCAATTCAACAAGTTGTAGGGACAAGCAGTGCGAAAACAACTTGTCGACAGCTTGTGATGACTGTATCAGACTTGTCAGAACAACCTTGTAACAAGTCTGATAATACCATCAAGCTTACAAAGTCGTTCTAATAAGTCAGATACAGTCATGATATAACAAGAATGTTACAAGTTGACCGGACAAGGTTGTAACAATATTGTTATATCATGACTGTACCGGAATTGTTGGAACAACTTTGCAACAAGTCAGATAATATCAACAAGGTTGTTACAAGTTGTTAACAGCTTGTTCCAAACTTGTTGACAACTTAGGACAAGCAGTGCGAACACAACTTGTTGACGCCTTGTTGGCAGACTTGCTACAAGATATGAGATTTTTACGCGTGTAAGATGGTCATCCTAAACACGTAAAAACGCACAAGATGTTACAAGTCTGTTCACAAGTTTGGAACAAGCTGTTACTAACTTGTAACAAGCTTGACGGCATTATCAGACTTGTTACAAGGTTGTTCTAACAAGTCTGATACAGTCATGATATATTAACAAGAATGTTACAAGGTTGACGAAACAAGGTTTTAACAACATTGTTATATCATGACTGTATCGGACTTGTTGGAACAACCTAGCAACAAGTCAGATAATGTCAACAAGCTTGTTGACAACTTGTGACAAGCAGTGCGAAGACAACATGTTGACGGCTTGTTGACAAATTTGTTACAAGATGTGAGATTTTTGCGTGTGTAAGGCTTCCCTGGTTTGGCCGGGGATTTATTTCATCATGTAAACATGCGAATATACACGTAAAAACGCACAGGTTGTAAGCAGACTTGTAGCAACGCTGTTCCAACAACTTGTCAACACGATGTGTTCGCACTGCTTGTTCCCAGCTTGTTGAAAAGTTGTCAACGGCTTGTTGACAGCTTGCCACAAGCCTGTTGCGAACACATCTTGTTGACAGGTTGCAAGATTTTTACGCGTGTAGTTCCGTTCTCTTGTATTACCTTTTACAGTTTGTGTCGTGTCATTGAGCAAGAGCATTCCGACAATTTCTTTGAATTCAATCTTATCGCCGTCTTCCAATCCGTGCATTTGATTATCCAGGGTTAGCAGCACGCCAGGATTGGCCTGGAACACGTATAGAAAAACCCAACATGATAAATGTAAAGTGAAATGCTGTTCATCTGACAGTTATATTTTTTTGTGATGTTTTTGATGTTACTCTGAGTGTATATCCACACCGGGCAAGCTGAAAAGTTAGCCTGACCACGGTGGGAATCGAACCCGCGACCTTTGGGATACTAGTCCAATGCTCTGCCAACTGAGCTACGAGGCCAAGTCTGTTCGAGTATGTGGTATTTCGGAACTAAGTCTACAGTACCTTCGATACCAATCAAAAGTGCTGTCCGAATCCGGGAAATATTATTTAATAAGCTGTACTCTTAGTACCTTGGAAATACCAGATATAAAAAATTCTTTTGGTTCTTCCCCAGACGGGTCCAGGACTTCAAATTCGTCACCAAAATCACAGAATGTGTACGAGAATAATCCAAAGATATCGCTTGATATAAACTAAACATCAATCATATAACAAAATGAGTCACTTTGACTTTGTTCAAAATTTTCCATTTGACTTTGTTCAAAATGTTCATATAACTCACTTTTATTGGCGGGCTTTGTGATCTACAGAAATCGTCCACGACTAACGACAGTTTCAAAGGGGCTTCGGTGAGGACAACACACTAAATGATGGAACAATTTGTAAGATCGATAATTCAAATTTAATTGCTTATTTGTACAAGAATTCTAGAAATTCATTACCTGGAATTCTTTAAGGAAATCTAAGTTTTCTTCGAGAGGTTTTGTGAAAACTCTCACATCAACATACGGATTTAGTTCAGCTAGTTTGGAACAGCTTGCTTCTGCTCTGAAATGGAAAAAAAACCCAACTGACTTTATTTCTACTAGATAATTTTTAACAATCAATTCTGAACTGTTGCAATTGAATTGAAGATCTCAAACTCTTTAATAATTCGTTCTTTGCATGTTTGCATGGCGATAAAAGATATAATAGTTTTGTTTGTAGAAACACCACGTAAATTTATTACTCAATTCATGAGTAAATTAGCCAGCCATATTGCTTTATTTTGCTCACATGATAATACTGCATACCTGGTGAAGAATATCGATCCAGTCCTAGGACTGGATCAAAATTAATTCACCTCACTTGAAGTATTGGTTTATTCGTATGAGATGTCATTTCAAATCCTCCAATTCGGACTGGACTAGATTTCAAGTCCTCGCATTTTGATCCAGTCCTTGGCTTCGCCTTGGATTTGATCAAATTGCGCGGACTTAAAATCTAGTCCAGTCCGAATTGGAGGATTTGAAATATCACTTTATTACTTCCTTAGTGGTATTGTAGAGACGAGGAAACGGCAGTTCTCAAAGAAAACATGCCGTATTTTGTAGACAATTAAAGTACAGTACTTCCTCACCTATTTCTTTTTTGTTGGACGTCATTTTCTCGGAGATAAAACTGACTTCCAAAGTCATAGGTTGTGGCAGGTCGCGTATCATGCAGTGTTATACTCTAAGAAAGCACACAAACTGTACTTAAACATGAGAGTAACATGAATTCTTTATCATTATTTGCGCAAATCTTTTTCTCCAAAAGATCCATGTTATTATTATTAATTACCAATTATTCGCCGAAGGCGAGGTGATTATCGGTGAATAAAAACCGAGACGAAGTCGAGGTTTTTATTCCCGATAATCACCGAGCCTGAGGTGAATAATTGTTTTAGTATAATTTCATAGGTGATTATTTGGAAAAAATATAAAAAAATACATATTTCTTCGTCATTTAATTGACACAACGGCTTCGGCCGCCATTTTGAAAATCGCTTAGGTGATTATCGCGTAATAATCACCTCACGGCAACCAATCAGCGTGGAGAATTTTCAATAATCACCTATGTAATTATACTAATACTAATTATTACAAAATTAGGAACGAACTAACTAAAGATATTATGGGTGATCAACCCTGGGAACGAGGTTGATTGCTTATTAATAAAATGATTTTAAATTTTAAAGTCAAGGACACGGGATGAGAAAAATCCTGGAAAAGTTATGGTAAATCCAAGAAAATTTGAGCGAGTTATGTGGATAAACAGTCAAAATTCTGATCAGTACCTTTACACCAGCAAGAACAATATTTTTTGCTGAAAAACAAACAAAAATATATGAAAAAAAACTGGCACACAATGCGTCTATAAAAAAAAATTATGAAAGGTACGCATTGCGTCCACAAAATATTTAATGAAAAAATAGGTGCGCTTGCGTCCATACAAAATTTAATGAAAAAATAGGTACACATTGCGTCCATAAAATATTTTATGAAAAAATAGGTGTGCTGCGTCCATAAATATTTTATGAAAAATAGGTACGCATTGCGTCCATAAAACATTTTTCCTTCAGAAAAAGTAATGATTCAGTCTATAATTTAAAATATGAAACGTATTCTATACCTATTTCTACACCCAATCCACCAAGGCTACTCACAAGTACATTGGAAACTGCCATTTTCTCCATTGCTCCATCGCCAAGCACGTACCTCTGACGGCTGCAACAGAATTAATTCTGTATATATCACAAATTAATCTTCAGTGTCACAAATTAATCTTCAGTGTGCACTGGTTTAGAACGACTTTTTCTGAGGGATGCTGATTTTACCAGGGTGGTAGACTTTCTCTAGACTTATCTCAAAAAGTTCATGTTCTATAGAAACAGTTACAAGTCCAAAATGGTTCATGGGTGGGGGGGGGGGGGCAGGCTTTTAACCAAGATGTCAAAATCGGTTGCCCAAAACATACTATTAGCTCCACAGCACATGAATTCAATTGTAATATTGTCATAACTTAGTGTGTTTTTGGAAAGAAAAAGTAATGAAATTTGTAAGTAGCTACTGGAAGGAAAAATTTCCTCAACCCATCCATGACTGTCTATTAAAAGTGACCATCTAAAATTCTTATTTTTTCAAATTAGTTGTATAAATGCATGGTGGCCATAGGGGATTATGTGGGGGTTGATGTGCCTCCTGAGCTATATTTTATTTTCATCATCGATGGACCTTTTGACATCTATTAGGATATGCACATGGCATTTATAATAGTTATAAATTACCCAAGCATGCCTGGTTGAATATTTGTTTAAGTTACCTGTAAAGGGAGTCATCAATTTCTATTTCAGCTGTAGAAGCCATTTTGTTCACTTAAACTTTCAAATAAATCTAAAATTAATACTCTGATATTTTAATACCATCACCCTAGAATCCAACCGCTTGATACAATTCATTTTGCACTGTCAGAATATATAATAATTGAAATGTTAAAGATTTTAAGAATTATAATGGCAGGAAAACATTCTCTGAATCAATATTGTAGCGGACTGCACTGGAATTGGAGGTTCAATTCCATAAGTGTTAAAGATACACATCAAGTTTCTAAATTAACTTGTCTGTTTCTAGTCCATATAGTATTTTACAGGCCATCCTTGTATCATTAAAATATCAGTAGAGATTTAAATTCTTGAACCAAGTGACAGAATAATTTCACCTGTCAATTCAGGACGGAATCTGTGGGTGTTATATGCTGGATATCTCCGGTGTAAAATGTGAAAATGATATGTTTACGCCATTGGCGTAAATCATACTGATAAAATAAAAATCTTTGGCAATTTTAATGTTTTGTGTAATATTGTGAAGATTTTTGAATATTGAAAGTTGCTATTTGAAATAAGTGTATCAATTAACCGCAGTCAATTTGACCTTAATGTGTGAAACCTCAAACATGAAAAACCTTAGAACTTTCTTGTCTGTCATATGACTGGCGTAAAGAGTCAGTGGCTTGTCTATCATATGACTGGTGTAAGCAGTCAGTGGCTTATTGGCATAACCTCCGGCATAAAATTTTCACCTCGATTTTCACGGATTCTAACTTAGCTGTCAACTCTTCACAACCTCAACCCATATATCGGAATTGCAAGATTAAATTTCAAATAATCCTTTAATAGTTATTTGGCCAACATAACATGAAATACACTCTGTATATTGACACTCAAAACAGGAGGCTTTAAATTCTATATTATTAAAATAGTAAATAATTATACGGGATTTATATACCTCAAACAAACAACAAAAGTGAAACCACTTTAAACCACTGCAAATATGTTATATGTAGTACTTCTCCGTGATTTTAATTAAACAATTACTGCAAATATACAATACTGGCAGCATACTCAAGCACCTTTAGGCAAAGCCATTCCGTCTTCTTTATATTTAAACTTTTGAAAAAGAACAAAATTTTGAAAGTAAAAATTTATATTCTACTATATTAAATTATTTGTTTCCTTCCTTTTTTTAAATTTAATTTCCTTCCGCAAAAAAATTCCTTAAATTTCTACGTAATAATTCCTTAGATTTACTGTAATAGTATAAATTCCTTCCCTAATAAACGCTATGCAGTGGATCTTTATTGATTTTTAGATTAAGACCTAAGTGAGAAGTCTTTTTTGTAAATAAGCAATTCAATTCCAAAAAATAATTGATGAGTATATTTGCAAAATTTCGTACTATTTCCTCGGAAAACTGAAAAGTTTCGAATTTCCTTACCGCGGAAAACGGCCTTGTCCCCCCGGAATTAGAAAATTTCTACTTCCGGTTTGATTGTTTGAACGCGAGAACAACATGGCCGGCGCAGCGAAGAGCTCACCTGATTTGGAGTTTCTACGGCGTTTTGCCAGAGACCAGCTTATTAATATACTTGAAACTGTGAGTGGCGTTATGAATAATTAATAGTTTTTGTGTTATTTTGAATAATATCATGATTGCAGGTATTCCCTTTGTTCTCGCAGGGCAATTAATAACTAATACACCTCATTATATTCATTTTTTCTAATCCTACCCGCTTTTACGTCATGTCAGGTAGAATTAGAACTAATCCTACCCGAAACGACGTCAAAGCGAGTACGATTAGAAAAAATGAATATAAATGAAGATATCTGAAATCGCCAAAACTAAACAAAGACAGGGAAAACAATTATGGGGCCCTGTTAGGGGGGGTGTAGATGTCGGCTGTCGCAGTTTTAAAATCGTCAATGTCGCTTTTTGAAACTTGTCAAATGTCGCCGTCAGAATTTCGCACGTGGAATAGAGCAATCACATGAACAACACGTTTCTTGTATATCGGTCTCATTGTATAACCATCATTGTAGTAACCTGTTAATATTAACAAGTTACGACAAAATGCATTTAAAAAATACTGTGAAAGAATATTCGACATATATATATAGACTGTTTATGCTAGACCCATTACAGAAACTTGAGTAGACTGAATGTCTGAGCCTTCTCTGTGCCAACGTCGTCGTCGCTTTTTAAAATATAGCGCTGTCTCTGTCGAAAATAAATAAAACAGTGTCGCTGTCGCTTTTTCGCCCTTCTTTACCGTCGTTCGTCGGGATTTCAAAACTGCGCTGTCGCCTAAAAAAGGGCCCTGTCAGCTGTCGCAACTTACCCCTAACAGGGCCCCTTTAATGACGGAAATGTGCATTTAAAAGTAAAAGGTTCAACGAATAGAACACCACAATAACAAAAAATTGTGGCCACGCCCAAAAACATGTGACCATTCCTACAAAATTATTTTGGATGGCCACTTTTGAAATCCTGGCTAACACCCTGGTTGCTGTTAGGCCGGGTTAGAGTAGAGGTAAGGTTTGGGTTAGTTACATAGCCATTTAACACCTCTTCCGAAAATGACAACATGTCAGTTTGCTGGATGGAAAATAGTATATGAGACAAAAGATAATCTGTCATTTGATTGGTTGGTGCTAATTAGATTATACTATTGTTGTTGATATATTTTATAGTGATCACAACTATAATTAGATTGTTGTTGTGTGAAATTTAAATTTCTGGAACATTTTGATTGGATACTAAATATAACTTTGCTTTGTGTCAGGCTATTATTTTTAAAATAGTACCTGATCTGAGGTTAGGGTATTCTTGGGTTTTATATGACGTACGTTATAAAAGTGAGGGGGGGGGGAGGCTCAACTCTAAAACAAAACACAGTTATCAGAGTGAGTCGATTGTGCTTGTTTTATGTATTATAGCCTTGTGTTTGGTGACAAATACATGGAATTTCGTATAATTTTCTCACCCCAGTACAGCTTAAGCATCAATACATTTGAGGTTGACCCCCCTGTCAGATTCACCGTAGTGAAACCCAAGAATAGGTAACCTGAATGTCAGGCCTTTCGAAAAAATAAAGGCCTGAGGAAAATCTAGTCAAAAGCCTGTGCCGCCCACTTTGTTATTTTTAAATATTTTAGTGGATTATTACAAAAGAGTTTCAATATTTATTTCAGATAATAAAGTTAGCTGATTTTTTGTCATAAACTTGAAACACGAAGGCATTTCTAGGTCATCCATTCCACTATATAGACGTAGACAC